AAATATAGTGGGGGCTGTATAGTAACAGTAAAATAAGTAGTGGGGCCAGGTAGAAATAGGTAACAGGTAGTAACAGGTAGTAAACAGTAGTAACAGTATAAACAGGTAGTAAATAGGTATAGTAAAATAGTAGCAACAGGTAGTAAACAGGCAGTAACAGTAGTAGAACAGCAGTGGGGGGCCAGGCAGTGTGAAATAGTAGTAAACCAGGTAGTAAACAGGAAGGGGGGGCCAGGGACCAGGTAACTAGGTAGTGGGGAGACAGGTAGTGAGGGGAGCCAGGTAGTGAGGGGGGCCAGGCAGTGAGGGGGCCAGGTAGTGAGGGGCCAGGCAGGAGGGGGCCAGGTAGTGGGGGAAGCAGGTGGGGGGCTGGTGGGGAGGGCCAGGTAGGGGGGGCCAGGCAGTGGAGGGCCAGGTAGTGGGGGGCCAGGTAGTGGGGGGGCCAAGTTGTGGGGGGGCCAGGTAGTGGGGGCCAGGTGATGAAATTCAACAGCTTAAACTCATATTGTGAATTCAATTCCAACAATATGAATCTCATCTTATACGTAGAATAGCTTCCAAACCCACACTAGCAACAGCTAAAAAGCATTTAAAAAAAAGGATTTACGAAGACCATAAACAAAAAACAAAAGAAAGTAAAGCCTAACAAATTCCAAACCAAAAACATCCGCCAATGTTTATGGTATTAAACCCCCGGTGAAGCCCCCGTTATAAGTTCACTTAAACAGATCATAACTATAGATTTAAGACCGTATGAGAAACGATTGAGTCACAGAGATCTGGGTTTGTTTAGGAAGGCAGGTTGATTCGGTGTGTATATTTATAAACAGGATGCCTGAAACTTAAAATTTTACCGAATTATAGATAAAAATAAAGAAAAATATAAATAAATGAAAAATAAGCGCACGGTTTACCACTTACTATCATCCAAAACACATTTATTTTAAAAAATCGACCGAATTCGCCAGTTCGTTAACTGTCTCTATTTACCATCTAACTTAACAATGCAATAGGCTGCTGGGTTAATAGTATAAAAGAAAAAATGATTCTAAAACATTAAAAATCATCGAAAACATAACTTCATCCTAATCTAATCCAATCTAATCAATCTAATCTAACCTAACGTAATCTAACCTAATCTAAATATAAAATCCAAAAGCTCGCTGCATGACCGAAACGATGATAATAATAAACGAAATGTGAAGGAGACACGCGACATGGTCCAGATGGCACACACACACACACGCTGTTTTCACTCTTCACATAAACAAGAGAAACCAAACCGGTAATACTAGAGAGAGCAATCCGCCTTAGCAGCAATTTGTGGATATTTCATCGTTAAAAATAAGTCTTCTTACCGTCACTATAAGTCACAAACATCATTGAATACCCCACCTCAAGGTAGTGTTTACCGTAGTGCTGCCAGTTTCCTTCATCCTCAAACCTTCACTACAGCATGTGCCAAGTTCCCATGTCGTCTTTGTGTGTGATTACAATATCGAACCTACAACACTTCATTAACCAATATAAGGATAAACCCACAGGAAAGCGGTGAGCGTCCATGCACCTTCTCAAGGTGTCGCAAGTATTGACTTGCTGCTCCTGATCTGTTGGTTCAGCAGTCTGAAAACAATTTCGGACTATTCACCGATTCGAAAATGAAATAGACTCTAGCAATACAAAAGGAAAAACGAAATATATTTGTTAACGTTAGAAAATTAAACCAAAGTTCGATGAGTAAATAAAATCCTGCTTATTTCATATCAAAACAAGTAGACCCTGTTGGGCTGTATAATAGTTTGATGGTTAAGCCAGAAATAATAGATAAACTGGGGTGGAAATTCTTCAGGTGCTGTCTAATGTATTGTTAGTGAGTACAGTCAGTGGTAACACTCACGAGGGGTCCACAACTGAACAGTTACTGTAAAATACATATCAGATTGCATATAATTGTAAATAAATCCGTACCAGCAACACTGATATTTCATTTATATCCGTAACAAACTTATTCCTGGGCATATTATTTTAAGATAATAATAACAACAATTATAATAATAATAATAATAATAATAATAATAATAATAATAATAATAATAATAATAATAATAATAATAATAATAATAATAATAATAATAATAATAGTAAAAATAATTATAATAATAAATAATAATAATAATAATAATAATAATAATAATAATAATAATAATAATAATAATAATAATAATAATGATAATAATAATAATAATAATAATAATAATAATAATAATAATAATAATAATAATAATAATAGTAATAATAATAATAATAGTAATAATAATAATAATAATAATAATAATAATAATAATAATAATAATAATAATAATAATAATAATAATAATAATAATAATAATAATAATAATAACCTAATGGAATTAATAATATGTTCTTATATTTTACAACAACCAACCCCTACTATATCGGGTTGCGGGTCTTGAGTAAAGTATCAAACTCAGCTTTCGTCTAGAAAGGTCAGTATTTGTGTACCCGACTCTAAATCCAGAAATAGTCCTCGGTAATTACGCCTAGCTTGGTAGGTAATATGGCCTCCTTCCATTCTCAGCAACTGTCTTGTTTAATAAACCTCACAGTATTAGGTGTACAGAAACGACACTGTTTATATGGTACGTTTTGTGCTGTGCGGAGACGAGGGGTGGGAGTCTCTGTCCCTGGTTCTTTACTGACAAACTTATCTCCGCTACTTTTTCCTTTGTATATTAGCTGTACTGATCACAATAGTACATGTTAGTCATCTTTAGATAAGACGATTCATATTCTGCTAAATAGCCCATAAAAACATGTATAACGTGTTTGAGTCACCCATCGAAAATGTGCTTTTCTCGTATATCCAAACATACCCATTCTCTCAAAAAATGCTATGTCTAAGTATGTAAAGTTAAGATAACTTTCAACTATTATGTGTATTCATATGTATGTATACCCACGTTATCTGGATACATTCAAGATCCATTGTGTTATGTTGAAAGCTTCAAATTCGTATGTAATTGGAGTGAAAATTGTACTATAAAAACTTAGTATTTGAGTTAGCCAGCCTGAGATTTCTAATGAGTTACGTCTGTTGTGAAGCTATCAATTGTCAGCTTGCAGGGGCGGATCCAGGAATATCAAAAGGGGAGTCCAAGAAGTCGTGGGGCGTGAATACAGAGCGCGGCGAGCCCGCAGATGGAGGGTTTGCGGGGGGCGCTGTAAACTCCCCGATTTTTTTTTTTTTTTATCCTGACCAATATCACGGGTATTTTGGCCATGCGCACTTGATATTATGATATACTGGTCAATAGTAAAAATTTATGACTATACAAAAAACGCCTGAGCACAATACTGCATTAAAGAAAAGTACTGAATTTCTGTTGAAAAGGGGGGTTCCAGGACCTCCTGGATCCGCCCTCGGCTTCCTCACCAGATTTGTATTTCCTTGGATCTGAAGAATTCAGACAATAATAGATGAATTTAAATTATAGTCATACTGATATTACCTAGTCTCATTAATCACTAAAAGGTGCACAGATATCAAGGAACATTATCTTATCATTCCTGCTTTCAACTTCCCGACTGATCTCCTGTAGAGTCCAAATGATTTTATTGTTCCCAGGTGTTCGAGCCTAACCTGACGTTCCCCTCTCTCATCAGTAGGTCTACTTGTTGTAATCTTTTCACCACTTCTGCAGAGTCCCTAGCTACTGCAGGAGCTGTTCGGATCCGGCATTTCTCCCAGTCACCTTCTTTTTGGCTCCGGCCGCAACCTGACCATAGGGCTCTTCTTAAGTTCTCCTTTGCCTCAGTTGTCTCATTCAGTAAGTGTGGATGAACTTAGTGGTGAAAAGACATTCTATGGAAACTGGTTGAGGTGATGTAAGACTTGGTGATGCTGGATGACTGTAGTGTTTAGGAATATAATGTTATGTCTAAAGTGGACAGAAGATGTAATGATTACTTGAAGACAGGATGGGAAATAATGTATGGATGGGGTTGTGAAGTAGATGAAGGAGTGTGGGTTATGGTGGGTTGTAAGGCAGTGTGACCATCTGGGTGAGAACTGTACGATGCCTAGGGACTAATTACACACAAAAAATACAATTACATAATCTCCATCAAGGATCAGGAAAGGTTTAGAATAAAAATAGCATATATAAATTTCTTTTCATTTATTTATGTATTCCCAGTTGCGGAGTTTAGACACAAACAGTTTTTATTGTATCTATGGACCCCAAAAAATAAATATGGTCAAGTAATCGACAAATAGACATTTATTTTGTGTGTGAAATAAATGTGGAGTGTGGAAAGGTTGAGTGCTTTTTGTTTTTTACATATGGGTACAACACAATGTGTGTGTATGTGTATTTATAAATTATACATAACACATTATACCAATACAGTATAAAGATTGAAATAAGAAAGATAAATGACTGTAAACAAACAGATACAGTTTTGTTTCCTATTGTTACATAAAACCTTGGATTAATGAAATTGGAAAGTCAACCCATAGTAGCGAGCGAACAGCCTGAGAGGCAAAACACAGATGGTAAGTGCTTGGAAGTGCGTTTATTGGAAGTGTTTTTCAGTGAGCCTTTTTTTCCCTTTTCACTTTTAAAAAAGTAGCAAACATACATAATTAATCAGCAGAATGAGTGAACTTGTCTGAAGAGATGAACCAAAGTTTTGCGGGAGAATCTAGGTTGTCGTCAGCACCTGGCCAAGTGTTACTGTTGTGTAATGTTTACGGCCAACGGAAGCGCTACCTTGGTCAACGCCGGCAGTGGTATCAAGAGGTTCTGGAGGAGCACTAAAGAGATCCCACAGTATTTCTTGCTACCATAGTAACACCGAAAGCTTAGCAAAATTGGTGACTTGGGAGTAATACTGATGACTTCCCAGCAACACTGATGACTTCCCAGCAACACTGAGAGCCCTGCAATACTGTGATCATCAAATAATACCACAGAGCATTAAGTGACACCATGAAGTCCCAGATTGACAGCCCCAGAGCGCCCCCGGGGATCCTCCAGCAACTGCATGACCCCATTGAACGTCATACAAGATGTCACTGTCGGCCGCTGTTTCACCATAGTTGCTGTACCCATCATCTGCCTTGGTTGACCCTCTCCACTGCCCCCAAGAATGTGACACAACGACAGCGTGCTAAGAACCCAAGGAAAGCGACTGACGACGCGTGGCACACACACACCTTCACACATCAGCCGCTAGAGGTATAAGTGCGCTGGTGACAGTGGAGACGGCCAAGATTCACAACTTTCACAGATTTACATTTCTTCAGCCTCATCTCGCCCTCAATGAAGCAACAACCACCCACCCACACCAACCCCCCCAAACCCCCCCACCCCCCACCCACAACCAAACAACCCCACACACACAACCCAACCAACCCACCCCCACAAACAACAACACACACCCCCACACCCCACACCACAACAAACCCACCACACCACACCAACATAGTTTATTGTTAGTTGACTATTGCCTTCAGTTGATACAATAATTACCACATGCAATACAGGATTTACCTTGAACAAGATCCTAAGACCAAAAGTATATAACAGAACATTCTTTAAGATACATCAGCAATATATTTATCAGATATATCAAACTCATCCTTCCCGAGTCAAAATGCATTAACAATTATGTTAACTTCACATAAGTGTTACTTATTCAACAACCCCAAAACCAAGTTACACCATATACAGTGATCAACACATACACACCTTAAACCTGTGGGACACCAGTCAACGAACCGATGGAGCGTTTGTCTTGATGGTCGCACGCAGCATTCACATCTCATAACTACATCAACACGGTACAAGAGGCAGCAAGCCATGTACTTCCCGTGGTGGATCACACTTCACCATCTGCTGGGACAACAAATGTTAAAACCTGCCTGATACCTGATAGTGAAGGTTAATAATTTCCCTTATACCTTATATACTATACCTGTTGAAACTCTTACCTTGGAATGTATCAGTAGGGAAACAATTATCACCAACAGTGCAAATGGCATACACTAAACTACAAATATCAACAACTGATTGAATGGAACTGCACACACACACACACACACGTCCCTATAGGTGGGATAAAACATGTAGGAGAGGCTCACCTGGATTGGCTGGCTCGAAACAGGAATTGCGGATCTCGGCGACGGATCTGCTCGTGGTGGTAGGCCTTCTCGGCGGAGATGACTGGCGCGTAGGCATCAGAGGGAAGTGGATGCGGGGGTAAGGGACCAGGTTAGTCTGAACTTCAGGAGGTCGACATTCAGCGCCCACGAATCTGGAAGGAGTTTTTGGGTTGATGAATTGTGATGAGGTGGGTGATGGAGTAGGTGGTGGGTGATGGAGGTGGTGGGTGATGGAGTAGGTGGTGGTATGGGTGAAAAAAGGAGGAGGTGGGTGATGGAGGGGTAGGGAGGTGGTGGGTGATGGAGGAGATGAAGTGGGTTATGGAGGAAGAGGAATGGGTGGAGGGGAGGAAGTGAGTGTTAGGTAACATCAATACATTTATCCAACGACTCCAGCCAACTGAGACGTACCTGAGGGAGGCGGTGATGGAGGAGACGATCTGGCCAATAAGGCGATTGAGGTTGGTATAAGCTGGTCTCTCAATGTTCATATTCCTGCGGCAGATGTCATAGATGGCTTTGTTGTCACCATGAAGGCAGCATTCAGAGTGTTCCAGCGAGCAATACGTAACTGAAACGAGCACAACA